TGAAGTCTCATATGCAAGCAAAAAAGTTGAGATCTAGGTACTCATGCTCTCCATATGTCATATCAAGCTACTGTTAGGAAATCTAGGACAACGTCACATGTGCGTCGAAAAAATAGAATTTTTTTTTTTTTCAGATTTCCATAAAAAGGTTTTATCATCGTACGAAGATTGGTACGTAAAAATTGTAAAATAAAAAACCATGCATATAAAAAAAATGTATTTGAAGAGTCAGTTAGGGGTTGCTAGCTGAGGAGGAGAGAGGGACAGGAGAATATGAGGTGATAGTCAAAAAGGTCTAACCTATTGCTCTTTGGCTCTCTCTTATTTATAGAGACCTTATATCAACTTAACCCTAATAGATCTCATCCTATTGTATACTAAATCTTCATCCAACTACCCAAGCCTCTTAGATTAGTAGGTCTCTACCCAATAATCTTCCATTGACTCTTATTAAATTTCATCTATATAATCTAATAATTCATAGACTTATTGAATATCTAAGATAAAGGCTCTAACGGATATCTCATATTCGAATATATACTTATTGCAACACCTATCATATGTGTGTGATCCTCTAGGCTCAATATCGAGTTGGTCGTGAGTCACTCTTTTTGATTCAGTGAATTATTATCTTCAAAATAATTCAATTGATTTATTGGTTATGGATATACTAAGGCACTACGTTACAATCCGATATAAGAGAATCTAATTTATTGGATTTGTCTATCGTTAGTTACCGTGTATCTATAGTCCTTTATCTGTGTATCTATAGTCCTTTATCCATTTAATATCTCAGAGACTATATATCAAGCATAATACTATTAAGTTTATATGATTTCTATTCAAGTATAGCTTTAATCGGATCTCCTCTCAAGCTTCGCCGAGAACATAATCTTCCGGATCATCAAGCAACTATTGCTTAAAGTAGTTTCTTAGAATTATCCATTGGTTGACAATAAAAACAATTTATTGATTTAGGAAAACAGCAACCAAGGAGTTTTAATTTATTTTAAAAAATTCAATGAGATAAAAAGTATGAATTTTTGTATGCAAAAGAGTATATACGGCACAAATCGGATCTCCTCTCAGATAAATGGATTCCTTTATTAAACATTCAAAAAAATAAATGTGTGGATGGTGGACTTTTTGGTTCCACCTTAATCTTTCTTTTCTGCGTGACGTAAGCAAAGAACGGGACACACGTACGACGATGGCCCCCACCTGCAGGAACATATGTGTCGAGGTGAGAGCGATCTATTTGTTTGTATTAAGAGGAGTTTCTCAATAATAAATAAATAACATTTGATTAAAAAACACAACAAGGATTAGGGAGCCGTGTGTTTGATTAAACCAAACAATTATCATATGTGATTTCTTCTTATCAACAGAGGATAATAGTCGACTCCAATCAATAAGTGCTTTTCAGAAGAAAGAAAATATACAAAAACAAAAAAAGACGATCTCACAGCCACTGCGATCGACTTAGCTTTTTTTTATCTTCCCTCCGACCTCAACGATCTTCTCCTTCTTTTCTGATTCATTGATTTTTATTTACTACAGCCTTATATATATATATATATATATATATATATAATTTTATGTCTTAATTCATAAATTATCCCCCCCTTTTTGTTTATTTTCTTCCTCCCTTCTATTGTGGGAAACAACTTTGAGCCGTGGCCTCGGGGCCGACGCGGCTCGGTTCGGGTCCGGACGATGGGGACCTCCCTGGGGCGTTTCTCGAGCCCGCTGAGGCGGTCGGGTGCGGTATCCGATCGGGACGGTGTAGCCGTCTCCTCGGGGCAGGAACTCCTCGCCTGCGCGTCCGGAGGGGACCTTCGGCTTCGCACCTGCACAAAGGTCGGGTCGAGGTCCTCGGCCCGACCCCTCCGACGATCAAGTTAGCATATGTGGAGGGGGTTTCAGATGAAGAAGTGTTTTTGTATGTCCGTCCCTCTTCCTCTCTTTCTAATGAACGAGAGGGTATTTATAGGGAAGCTTACTACTTCCTGAGCTGCCTGCTTGCAGGGGGCAGGCTGGTAGCGTCTGACTTTGTGTTGGCATGGCGTGAAGAATTAAGCTTTGGCATGATGTTAATGCGCCTCGGTCGGCGTTCCGGTCTGCATTGACCAGGTGGTGTCAGGTCAACCGAGGCGTCATCTGGGGCAGTTGACGTCAGCCGAGTCCTATCATAATGACTATCCTCATCATAATTCCCCCCGGAAAGAAGCTATGCGTCGGTCGTTGTAATGGGAGTCCGAGGCATGGGTTCAGCTTTCAGGTGGGCTAGCTGCGCAGACGCTGTCTCGGGAGCATGGAGCCGAGGAGCGCGAGGTAGACGGGCTGGCCGCGTAGGTGTGTCTCGGAGAGCATGGAGCCGAGGAGCACAACACAGGCGGGCTGGACGCGCAGGCGTGTCTCGGGTCATGGAGCCGAGGAGCCGAGGAGCACGACGCTGGCGAGCTGGCCACGCAGGCATGTCTCGGGTCATGGGGCCAAGGAGCCGAGGAGCATGACGCAGGCGGGCTGGCCGCGCAGGCGTGTTCGGGTCATGGAGCCGAGGAGCCGAGGAGCACGACGCAGGCGGGCTGGCTGCGCAGGCGTGTCTCGGGTCATGGGGCCGAGGAGCCGAGGAGCACGACGCAGGTGGGCTGGTCGTGCAGGCGTGTCTCGGGTCATGGGGCCGAGGAGCCGAGGAGCACAACGCAGGTGGGCTGGCCGCGCAGGTCATGGGGCCGCGCAGGCGTGTCTCGAGTCATGGGGACGAGGAGCCGAGGAGCACGACGCATGCGGGCTGGCCGCGCAAGTGTGTCTTGGGGAGCATGGAGCCGAGGAGCACGACGCAGGCGGGCTGGCCGCGCAGGTGTGGTCTTGGGCATCATGCGGCCGAGTAGCATGACGCAAGCGGGCAGACCACGCAGGCGTGGTCTCTCTGGCCTCATGCAACCGAGTAGCACGACGCAAGCGGGCAGACCGCGCAAGCGTGGTCTCGGGCATCATGCGGCCGAGGGACACGGCTCAGGCGAGCAGGCCATGCTGAGGTGGACTCGGCAGACTTCGGCCGAGCCGTGTAGATTCAGAAGGATTTAGGCCGGGGCTAACCGTGAGCCGGTGGGTAGTCAGGTAGATACTGAACCTTCACTCGGAAGAGATTGAGGCAGGGCCTAAATTTCCTTTTCACGAGAACTACATCGGATAGCCGTCGCGGGTGCTTGACCCCTTCTATGGAGCCCGCTGTCGAAAGTTGTCCCTTCTCCTTACGGCCGCCCAGCCTTCCACCGCGATATACTGGTTAGCCCGCTGGAGCATCTCTGGCACCGTGGTGGGGGGTCGCTCCACGAGGGACAGAGGAATCTGGAAGGTCGCAGGCCTATTATAAACACCTGCACCAACAGAGAAGGGTGAGTGTCCGGCAAACCCCGGATTTGCGTGGCAAAGCGATCCACAAAATATGAGAGGGGCTCGTCCTCCCTTTGTTTGAGTCCGAGGAGCAGTGCCGTGGAGGGCTTTGGCCGTGCATAGACTACGAAGTGGAGCTCAAAATCATTGGCGAGCTGGTCGAAGGAAGCAATCATTCCGGTCTTCAAGCCGCCATACCACACGTGGGCCGGCCGTCTCAGAGTGGTAGGAAACTCTATGCACATCAGGGCATTAGAGGTTTCGTATAGTGCCATTTGGGCGCGAAAAGTGGCTACGTGGTCCGCCGGGTCGGCGGAGCGATCGTAAGCGTTCAGAGAGGGGAGCTTGAAGTCCGGGGAGACTGTCAGATCCTGTATCTCGGGCGTGAAGGGAGACCCTTGATGTGTGTCCTCCCCAAGCTCTCCCTTGGACATGCGAACCTCTTTCTGCACCTCGTCGAGTCGCTGGCTAACGAAGCGCAACTAGGCCCGCAGGGAGTCCGAAGAGAGTGCCTCGGGTTCCAGGCGGCCGCTCGGGTTTGCCATCACTAGATCCCCGAGTGGGGCCGATCGGACCCGAGGTGAAGTGGGGGGCTCCGGAAGCGTCATGTGGGCCCGAACGGGCGCCTTGCGTTGTCGTAGTGGTTCGATCGCAAGCGGGTGCGCCGGATGAGAAATGAGCGGGATAATGGTTTGCACCATTTCCATTAGGGCTCGGACTTGAAGAGCGAGGTCCTGAAAGGCCTCGGACGACACGGGCGCTGAGTCGGCTGGGGCGCCGTCGGGCGGCGGCAAGCCCGGGTCGTTGAATATCTACCAATATCGTTCGGAGGTCATGGCGGGGTGTTCGTCACGGTGGTCTCCGTGCGAGGGAGGTTCCCCCGAGGCTTCGGTCGGGTGTGACCTCTCAGTCGTGAGCTCATCTAAGCCGCTTGGGTGGTCACCCGACATTCCGAGCCCTCCTTCTAGCGCCAATCTGTTGTGGGAAACAACTTTGAGCCGTGGCCTCGGGCCCGACGCGGCTCGGTTCGGGTCCGGACGACGGGGACCTCCCTGGGGCGTTCCTCGAGCCCGCTGAGGCGGTCGGGTGCGATATCCGATCGGGACGGTGTAGCCGTCTCCTCCGGGCAAGAACTCCTCGCTTGCGCGTCCGAAGGGGACCTTCGGCTTCATACTTGTACAAAGGTCGGGCCGGGGTCCTCGGCTCGACCCCTCCGACGATCAAATTAGCAGATGTGGAGGGGGTTTCAGATGAAGAAGTGTTTTTGTGTGTTCGTCCATCTTCCTCTCTTTCTAAACAATCTAACTGCGGTTGTCTCCATCGCTAACGTGGGATTTCCTCCTCCCTAACATCAGCAACATTTTTTTGAGGTTAGGAGAAGCGTTATTCGCCATCGTAGTGCTTCTTCATCTTTCAATTAAAATTATTAATATAACCCTCAAAGACATGACCCATTTGTATTTGTAAGTTAAGTCTCACGACGCTCTCCAACTCTTTTGTCATCTTTAATGGATTAAAAAGATTTGATGTTTCCGTCCACAGAGAGAGGGTCCCGTGCCTTTTCTTTTGCGATCTGTGGAGACACGCCACAAGCATCTGTAGCAAAGGAAGAGAGAGTTGTTTAGCGCGCCTTTACAGCTCTGCAACGGCTCCTCCTCCGAACCCCAATAGCATGCTTCCACGCCTTCGGACCTCATCATCACTTGTCCTTTTGCCAGATTTCATATGGGCGATGGATTGCAATCCATGGTTCGATCCGATCGGGATGTGGAGATCGCTGCGATTCTCCCTCCTCCTCTTGGTCCTCCTCGCGGCCGCCGAACCCTCCGCGGCGGCCACCTGCCCCTTGAACCTGACGTACGTTTCCACCTTCCCCTGGGACGACACCTCCTGCCTCCCCGCCACCGCCAACCAAACCGACTGCTGCCTGACCCTTCTCAGCCTCTTCGGCATCGGACTCGCGCAGCGCCTCCATGACACCGGCCGCTTCCGCCTCCCCGACGTTTCCACCGCCGCCGCCTGCCTCGTCGACCTCCAGTCCAACCTCTCCGCCGCGCCACTATCCTTGCCGTCCTCCCTCGTCTCCACCTGCTTCCCCTTGCCTGGCCGCTTCGTCAACACCTGCGCCGGCATATTTACCAGGGGCGACTGGACCGCCAAGCTCGGCAACTCCACCGCGCTCGACGCCGCGTGCGACGGGGATCTCACCAACCTCCAGCGCTGCGATTCCTGCCTCAAGGCGGGTTTCGACGTCACCTCGCGGCTCACCCGCATCGACGGTAACGACTCCAACGCCACGCCCTGCTTCTACATCGCCATCCTGTACGCCGCAGGAGTCGCCAACCAGTACGGCCCCAAAGACCCCCGTGCCGCTACGTGCGTCTTGGGCCTTGCGCTCTCTTCCACCTCTCCTCCCGATCACCAGTCGCGCAGCTCCCACTCCGCCGCCATCTACGCCTCCGTGGCCGCGGTCCTTGCCCTCGCCCTCCTCTCCTGCTCCATCGGGCTCTTCGTGTGCCGAGTCAGCCGCAGACAGAAGAAGCGGAGCGACTCTGCGGTCTCGGAGAGGAGCTCGAGATCGTATCCCAGACCCAACACCGGATCGATCTGTTTCGACATCAAGGAGCTAGACAAGGCCACCGCCAGCTTCTCGCAGCAGAACCTCATAGGGCGCGGCGGGTTCGGCGTCGTCTACAGGGGCACTCTCTCGGATGGGAGCTCCGTCGCCGTCAAGAAAGTGCTCGAGCCGGATTTAGACGACGGCGATGAGGGATTCCACAACGAGGTGGAGATCATCAGCCATCTGAGGCACAGGAATTTGGTCCCTCTGAGGGGCTGTTGCATCAGGGAAGACATGGCGGAAGGCAAGCAGCTGTACCTGATCTACGACTACATGCCCAATGGAAACCTCCACGACCATCTTTTTGGCACAAGCAAGGACGCTCATGGCAACTCCGGGAGGAGGAGGCCGCCCCTGACTTGGCCTCAGAGGAAGAACATCGTACTGGACGTGGCCAAAGGGCTGGTGTATCTGCACCATGGAGTGAAGCCAGCCATCTACCACCGGGACATCAAACCCACAAACATCTTGTTGGACGGGGAGATGAGGGCGAGAGTGGCCGACTTCGGGCTCGCGAGGCAGAGCAGGGAGGGACAGTCCCACCTCACCACCAGGGTCGCTGGAACTCACGGCTACCTCGCGCCGGAATACGCGCTCTACGGGCAGCTCACGGAGAAGAGCGACGTCTATAGCTTCGGCGTGCTGGTGTTGGAGATCATGAGCGGCCGCAGGGCGTTGGACACATCCCCGGAATCGAACCTGGTGCTGATCACGGACTGGGCATGGACAATGATCAAAACCGGGAGAGCAGAGGAAGTGCTGGACGAGGCATTGACGAGGACCGACGACGAAGGGAGGTCCCCCCCGAAGGGGATCATGGAGAGGTTTGTACTGGTGGGCGTCCTCTGCGCACACGTGATGGTGGCTCTCCGGCCGACGATATTGGAGGCGGTGAAGATGCTGGAGGGGGACATCGACATAACAGACATTCCAGACCGGCCGCTGCCGCTCGCCCGCGGGTCTGTCTTCGGCGACGGGAACACCTCCTATGCTTCACCTGCTCTCAGTGGCCCTTGTTTGAACACCGGAGACATGCTCAGGTAACTCGAGGATTTCTACGGTTTAGAAGGCTTCTATTTAGTTTGGATTTGGCAACTGCTACTCCTCAATCCCACGAGAAGAAACCAAACAGACCTGTCGTTGGATTAATATCACCATCTGAGTGTAGAAGACTGAAAACCTGTAGAAAGGGGGGGGATTCACCTGCAGGCAGCAGATTCCACGGCAACACAAAAGAGCTTATGTTGTGCTCCTAACCCGGTATAATTCTTGTTGCCTGGGTTCGGCCTGACAAACTCAAAAACTCCTTCATGTGTCGTCTATTTATCACTGCATCCAAATTCCGAAGGTTTTAGAATCACAGTGTTGCAATGGCCTCGCTCTCTTGTTTTCCCTTTTCCTCTTCCTGTAAATAAGTAATTGGTTGGCTTCCCTTCGGACAAGTCGAGGAGTAGTTTGATTGCAATTCATCGAATCTTTGGTCTTTGAGGAGCATCAAGCTCAAAAGTCCCAAGAACACGAGCTTAAGAGCCAAAGGAGAAGTTACATCAAAGTCTGTTTGTTTCTTAAAGCGGTTGTCCCAAAAAAAAATTGCTTTCAAGGCAAGGAAATGAGATTATGAGAACCATTAAGGTGGCATTATCAACATTCTTCACGCAGCCAGCCGAAGAAAAAGGCAATTCCACTTAGGAGTAGTTATCAATAGTCTGCATCCAAGTAGGAGCATCTGACATTAGCCTGAAATGTACGCAATTCTCTGGAATCGAATCATTCCAGTAACCTGATACCTACAGAGACCATCGCCATCAGATTTCGAAGCTAACAGAGAGCGTAAGGAACACCGTTTCCAACGATCTCCTTAATCCTGAGAGAAGATATTGGGTGAGAGAGACAAAGGTGAGTCAGAATCAGTCTCATCTTCTTAAGGAATTAAACGATCATATTGTTGTGTGGTCATGCAAGTCTCATGCCAAACACATGAGATGATAGACGTTCCAAAAGAATCGTGTGTTCCTCCATTTAATCATCCTCATGAGGTTAGTCTAATGGAAAGTTGGACTTTTCCTGTAAATGCACCAAATCGAATCAACTGCATTCGGCAACAACCAGGAGAGACTTCGTGATGCCCGGGCATGGATCGCCTCTAAATCTGCTCGTGGTCACAGGAATCGAGCATTTCTCCTTACCCAGACAAGCCTGTCCAAACACATACAGTTCAATTTCTTTGTGATATGTATGTTGTCTGAGATCAATTCATGTCTACAAGAGAAGAAGAAGAAGAGCCCACCTTCTCTGCAACAGCTCTGGAAGCAACAGAGTGGCAACCGCCCATAGCATGGCTTTTACAGTTCCCCACAGGAGTTCCAAAGCTGGCAAACCCTATGGATGAGATGCTTCTCCCTCGTTGACATCCAAGTCGAACGTATGGGTGTTTGCTTTCGGAGAACACTGACGGGTAATATGATTCAGCAACATGACCACAGACACGAGCAACCGAGATGGTGTCCACCGTGATAGAGCGAGGGTCGCCTCCCATTTCCTCGAAGAGAACAAGGAGGTTGTTTGATGGATTCAGAAAGGAGCGAGGAACATGATACCTGCGTAGAGTTGCTACATCACCCAAGCGAGCCACAAGGGACACTCCCGTTTAGAATATGAGCTGTACTTACAGAGACTGAGATGGCTTTCCACTTGGAGCTTTAAAGGACGCCCAGTAGCGGCCGATGCTTTCTCCGTTGATCCACACCTCTCCTTTCCCCATGTTCGCAAGGTTAAGTGCCACAGGATCGGTACCCCGTGGAGCATCAAACCTTGTCTGCAACAAACAAGAGTTTTTGGCATCATCGATTGCATCTGCAGAATTGGTTTCGGAGTGATGTAGCAAGTGGCCTTTACCTTGTACCATATCAGGGGTTTATTTGCGAAGCTCACAACAGGATTCCAGACTGCTTGCTTTGATCCTTCCTCGGTGTAGATTAGCACCTTCTCTCCCCGTAAACCAACCTGCATTCATCATCACACCAGTGTGTTTTTCCATGGAAAGAAAGTCCCAACTGTTTCATTCCTAGATTACACTATCATTTCCTGACCTGGTAACGCCATAGCTCATGTGTGAGATCTCGAGATAAATTTCCAGTCCCTTGGATTCTTGCATGTTGGATTCCAGCAAAACGCTTCTCAAGATATGCTCCTGAGTCCTTCAAACCAATAATATCACACATTATTATTGTTGCATACATTATTGTTGAAAATGACAGAATTTTCTAGATGACGACACAAAGTGATTGACACCAAGAGGTCGAAAATGGAAGAGACATTCCTTTCGCAGTCTAAGATGCAGTGTCACGTCGCTCGGCAACTGCAGGCAACTTAACTCTGCAGTTACACGAGTACAATTAATTGATTATGATGTATGCAATGGAGAAGCTTTTCGACTGGAAATTGGACTGATTGATTCATATTCCTACTACCTCATAAAAGTGTAGATTAATTGGCAGTAAGCCTAAAAATTCTTCTTTTGACTGCAGATATCCTGCTTTACGGTGGTTTATGACCATGCAAATTTCACTCTTTCTTTTCTTTCTAAGTGGTAGACAAAAGATCAATCATGACGAATTCTTCCTCACCGGTAGTCCAACCATAACACTGAGCAAAGAGATATTGTTCTGCCCTCCCTTGACTGGAATGGGTTTATCGAAAACAGGTAGCTCTCCATGATTTTTTCCATGCACAGTACCTGATCACATCACAAAGTAGAAGTCATGAACTTTAACCTTGCTAGGATGAAAAAAATAGAATTCTGGAATTCATCATTTGCTCAAGCTGTAGATTACTTACCAAGTAACTCATCATTTACAAAGACATGTAGAACATGTGCAAGAGAGTCGACATGAAGAGTAATCTGACCATCTTGTTGTGAATGGTTATAGCTGCAATTGAGGCAAAGGTCACACAACTAAGAGGCATGTATAAGAGATTGAAATATCTCATGTTACCTTGTGGTGTACCAGAGATAGTCTGTCACGTCTTTTGTTGTCGACATTTGTTCCAATAGCCCTTTCGCTACGAGTGAAGCCTTGCCGGCGATGTTAGACTCTTCTGCAGATGCTTCCCACTGCTGACTTCGATTGAGATACTGAACGGGCTCTGCTGTTCTTTCACCATATCGAGCGCTCACCTGTCCAATGAGATAACATTCGGTCATAGAGAACAGAACTTTCAGTCTCCTGAATGCTACTCTAGCTGACCTTGGCAGTATTGAAGACTGTCTTCTTGCAATCTGGTAAGATACTAATGGATTTGGCTGGTAATTCATAGATGGCATCAAGAAAATGCAGATTTGCAACCAGAGATTTATCGTAATTTACGAGAAAAGCAGCACATTTTCCTGAATTTGTTCGAAAGAGATGTGCCTGCAGAATTTAAACAAAAAAAAATCGTGATATTAACTCCCAAACTAAGAATGTTTATTTGGTCATTTATCAGATGGTAGCAATCTTACCTCCTGTAGCTTGGCAAGTGAATAATAAGTATACCTTCCCCAAAGTAACGCCTCCTGGCATAACTTGATGACAGCATGTAATTCCCTGAGATGACCCCATGTAGGCAGCCAGATTAAGCCTGCATGTGTTGTGTGCAAATGAAAGATTAGCTTTCTTTTCGAAGATAAGCCATGAACATGTAAATATGATAGTAGAATAACTGACCATATTCATCAAGAGGAGCTTGATCATAATAACTTGTTGTAACATATGATGAGGCAGACTTTCCAAAGTTTGTACCCCCATGATACTGCATTGAGATGATAAGTTGTATGACTTGAAACTCACAAGACTAGAATCAACAAATGGAGAGTATGATTAATCTAGTCAAGGAGAAGAAGGTTTCTTATTATTGTTATGGATAGTACTCCTTAGTTTCCTTAAGCAGAACAGAGTAGCATATCAACAAACACATTCAGCGAGGTCAGTGCAGTTCTACGACAGTTCAAAATGTAACATGATTGGTCTTCAGGAACAAGAAGGTTTGTCAAACAGTCGGATCATTTGCCAAACCATGTCCTTGAACTAATAACAAGATTCATACGATGAATTTTCTGTAAGAGAGAACCAACCATACCATGTAGTAATTCACAAAACTTCCATTCTTTTTCGCTATAAATAAGGCGACAGCAAAGGCAATATCTTCAGCAGACCTTGGTCGCGGATCTTCTCCGTAAACTTGATATCTTTTCATCACAAGTATCACACAGCATTCTTCTCAGACCATTACGAGTCACCAAAATAATGAAGTAAAAAATTTTAAGACAGCATTTTCAATGTAAAATAGCAAGTAGAACTAAACAGCCTCTGATGGGACATCAGACAAATTCCAGAAACCATTTTCAATTGCAAAATGGAATAAGAACTAGTCATAGTATTAACTGGATGCAGATGATGTGATCATGATTTTTGTTGCAGAAATCTGCCTTGTGATGTTTACAACATCACTTTCTGCACAAAATAATCGATGAATAAGAACAATCATGCATTTCTGAAACCAACGAGGAGTGAGACATGGTGAGAGAATTCAGCAGACATACCTCTGAGTCCAATTTTCTGTCCACAGTGATGGCTTTTTCGGTGAATTAGGCCCCAAAAAGGTTTCCCCACATTTCATCCCATTACAGGTATTGATCTGTAGATGAAATTGGAAGATCGTGATACCGAAAACTGCAAATGTGGGTGATTCAATCCTTGGAAACGCATGATGATTGGTGCATAGTACAAGATGACTTACGACAGGATCAGGAGCGTCACTCTGCTTGCACATCATCCAGGGAACACCGGTACCAAGGCCTACAGCCATCGATGCTGCCCACCGAACGTAGGAAGGCCCTCTCTCGGCGAATGCAGCCTCCACATTCTCGTATTCATTCTCGATCTGCATCATCGCACTCGAATGATTCACACTGAACCCAAATAAAGTTTGCGAGATCAGCTTCCTCGGATGTGGCCATTACCTGAGTAATTATGATCGGGCCACCTTGGGAAGCAAACAACCTCTCAGACTTCATCATGTCGACGATCTTCGTCACGTATTTTTGCATGTGGAACTGCGGACGAACAAACAGGCATGAGTACAAGAGCAAGACAAACGACTCCTTCGTTGATATGACAGGGGACTGCGAGTTTTATGGGGAACCAACTGTGGGTTTGCAATCAAGCACCTGCCTTGAAAGCTTCATTATCAGAGCGGAAGACGATGCCTGGAACGTCATGCAGCCAGAACGGAAGCCCTCTGCAGCAGCAAATCAAGAGCAGAATGCATTAGGAAATGAACAAACTCTGCACTCTGCAGACCTCTACCAATTCCACTCCAACTAGTCCCTGAGAAAATATGTCAAGGTTCTCCCTGTTACACGATCCGAAAGAATTCCTCTGTACGTCAGGGAAGCAGTCACATCCTCCCTTACGTCTTTCGTCTTCTTAATGCACCATTAGTGCCTCGAACGGCAATCAGGGTGGCATATTAATCACATTGTAAAGATTTGATTTCTCCGCGTTTCTGTATGATCCATTCCATCTAAAAGCGAAAGAAAATAACACGTACGATCTACAAGACAGCATTGCGTGCGTACCCATACTTCCACTCTGACTGAATGAAAGGACCGATTCTGAGGCTCACATACAGGCCTCCAGCTTGAACTTGTTTGATGAATCTCACCAGGTTGAATCTTCCTCGAAAGTCGTACTGAGAATATTCCACAATTGATAAATCTATACAAATCGCAATACAACGATATGTAGAATCACAGAGAGTATCCTATAAATATGTACGGATCAGACTTGCCTGTCCTTGAATAGGCTCATGCACGTTCCAGAACACGTAAGTTTGTATCACATCGAGCCCTCCCTCCTTGGCCTTGGCAATCAGATACGGCCATTTCTATATCATGTACAGATGTGAAACTTGTTAGCTTTTAGAACCAAAGGAGAATGAATATGCTTTGCAGATGTGAAACTTGGGCCGACAATAAGCAACGTGATTATGAACATGCATAAATATAGATGAAAAAAGTATACATTGTTGAGTTGCAATTCTTTTATTATCTTCCAATGTATTTATCAGTACCCATTGCTCTCATTTCGTTAATAACAATATAGTTGAGGTACGTAAGCTCCACGGCGTTTAGTATTTATTTATGGAGTACAACTCAATCATCCGTCATCGTAAGCTACGATCTAGTTGGATTTCCCACAATCTCTCTGGTTGGATTTCCTTTTTCATGTGCAACTGTTAATATAATATTATATATTATATTAATATGTAATATAATATTGTCTTTGGGACCACGATCCTGGCTATCAACTTGTGGCTTAACCATTTAAACCAATAAAATCGAATCATCTATCCCTCTTGGAAGATGCAAGAATAAATATTTAAATCATGGTACACTACCGTGTCACTCGGGTTGTAACATTACAATAGAATTTATGCTTCGGATCTGATGTTAACAAGCCACTGTTCATCGGAGATCAGTTAAATAATAGTGTTTTAAGTCAACCAACCCCTTCCTGGCTAACAAAATTCCTTGACTCGATCCGAAGCAATCTGAGCGGTAGCAATATATGGAAAGCTCAATTTGGATTGATATCTTCATTAGTTTAACCGCTGCAGAACCAGCGAGAAGGAATCAATGGAAGGATGAACAGAAAGAAAAGACCCATGTCATCTATCTCTTTCGTGAAACATCATGATGGACGGTGGAAGATCCAAGCATGCATTTAGGGGAGCAAAACTTAACGGCGATACAGATGGAAGATGGAGGACACGATGGAACAGTACCTCTGGCGTGCTTCGAGGGTAATGAATGGAACCGGAGAAGAGCAACCTTCGTGTTCCGTTTATCATCAGAGCCCTTCCATCGTAAGTCACGTCTCCGCCTCTCGCTCCCATTGACAACCATAACACCACCACAAGCGCCACCTTCAAATCCATCACCTCTTCTCTCCAAAAGATATATTGTCGACTCTCTCCGCCGGCTGTCCAATAACATCCCTGAGAACGAGCAACACTTCATATATACAACAAAATCAAGAGCAAGATCTAGAAATACTCGAGAACACGTGCTAAAATAATAAGCTAACAATATCTTATTAACGTGAAGAACTAGAAGGATTCGTTAGGAGCAATGACCTTAACTACACATGACCCTTACAGTGCAAACTCTCCTCATGTCACACACACACACACACACATATATATATAAAGAGAGAGAGAGAGAGAGAGAGAGAGAGAGAGAGAGAGAGAATGCTAGTGAAGAATTAAATAGAACAGTTTCTTGTGTGTGTGAGTGTGTGTGTGTGAACAATTTAATTAAATAGAATTAAATTCTAAGAATTAAATAGAACAGTTTCTTGCATTCCTACCTTGGCAGCAAATATAAATGCTAGTGAAGAAAGTGATTTGACCTTCCAAAAGAAGAAAAAGGAAATAGTGGATTCAAGAATCCGGTTAAGATGGAAAGAAAGAATGGCACGGACGGAAGTTATTGTCACGATTTGACTAGTGAAGCAGCGATGAAGAAGAAAAGGATGTGGTCGTGGGGACGTAGAGAGAGAAGTGATGAGGTGACATGGGCATTTCACGTCGCGTACGTGCGTCGAGTGAACGCACTCTTCACTCCCTTCTGCAGATAATACATGAGGCAAGCCTTCGATCGATACATAAAGGGTTTAGTTTACCAAGAAACAAAGCAAAGCCCGTGCTTTCAAATTATATATATATATATATATGCAAAATCCTTACCAAGAAACATACAAATGCAATGAGCCTGAAATGGGTTTTCCATTGGTATAATGAGACTGAAATGAGCCTTACAGTCCATAATTTTCGATCCATCAATTAGATTTGGGGCCGAATATTACGGCAGGAATCGAGAAGGTCCATTACGCCATTCCTTCGAAGGCCGCCATCGGTGATGGGTCTACTTCTCGCCCTCGCATTCCGAGGTTGAACCCATCAAAGCTTTTCTTCGCCAGAACTGGAGATCGATGACGCAGCGCTCGGCCAGCTTAGCACAAGCCCATGGTTGATTAAGCATGCAAAGACTCGACCGCACTCCTTATGCTGTATCGTCTTGCCCTACATAAATCACTGATGAGACACCAGTTTCTGGATCCTGATGTTTAGATGCGTTTAATATTCTTCTGTTCCATTTCTTGAAACAATGTAGCATCGATGCCATGGATTTAGTTTCATAGTGGATATGTGGCAAAGTTCTGATGTCATTCTTTGGTTTAACAAAGGAGTTGGAAGTGCTGACATGCTCCTGTGACGTGGCTTGCATGTTCCACATAACCTAATCCGAAAATTATGACACATCAGACTCGTATAGATTTGTGTATATGACGACACGCTCAAAACTTCATCAAACTTATCTGAAGACATTTCACTTTAACCTAACTCACTAAGCACCTATTATCTTATGTACGGTGCTCATGGTTACGTGGCATATATTTAATCTTGTGCAGCTTGACCCAGTGAGATCCAGAGAAAGATGCTCCTCCTCCTCCTGCTATATGGTAATTTAGTCAACCTTGCTGTAGAGTAGCTGTTTCCCAAAAAAAATATTGCTTAGCATCCATGCCACCAGGTTTTGCCAGAAACAAACAAGTCGGATTAGAAAAAGAAGTAATGATGTTGATAGTAGCACACACCATAAGATGACAGGAAGAGAGCCTATATAAATCATGTGAAGTCATTTGACTGAATTCAGAGCATCTACCACATGATAAACTCTGACTTCCATTATCATTGCCATTGTCGCGGTGTGCAAGTTGACCAAATTTATTATTAAAAATATCAGAGGCAATGTTATTAGACATTTATCATTGCCAGTGTCACGGTATACAAGTTGACCAAATTTATTATCAGAAATATCAGGGGCAATGTTATTAGACTTTCCACCTATACGAAAGGCCAAGAATCTTCCAAGATACATGAATAGGCGCAACACTACTCCTAACCGATGGGAGTACATAGGCAAGGTAGCTTGTACTGGTTCTGTACTTAAGGTAGTACATAGGCAAGTTTATATTATCTCGTAGAACAAAAGGAAGCTTGTACTGGTTCTGTACTTAAGGTATGGAAACAAAATTGGAGTGAAAAGAGCTGGTGATCATACTTTAGTTCCTCCATGTACGTTATGCATTACCTAATTGAGATGAAGTACGTGCCCGCTTGCATCACTGCAAACCAAAAAAAAAAATCAAGGACATAGTTATTGGTGCATATGTTTGCCAACTAATTTAACTACATTATTTTCCTCCCTAAAAATATGGGAGATCGATCCTTCAATCTTTCTTATCAAGACCAAAATGTTCCATGGTGGGGTATACCGTGTTGCACTGTAGCTTGCATCGCAGCAGCCACATACTTTCTTGGCTTGTCACCTTAATCATGCGAAAACATTTTTTTTTTCTCTTTAGCACTCTTTAAGAGTTTTCGTGGTTTTGTTCTGAGTTAAGCGTATAATTGTTCTTTGCATATCGGAATTAAAATTTCCCCAACCTAATCGTTTCTTAGAATTTGGATGTCATGGCAAGTTTACAGATGGTATATTTTCCTTGGGTATTATTACATGACGAGAATCAAACTCTCTTCCCTTCTGGATCAGATGAAACAACTTTTCCTTTCTTCTTTTGTTGTCTAATCTTTTCACCAAGATATTAATAACTCATAGTGACAATAGCAGGGACGATGTTATACGATTGTCCGATGTTTAATTTCGTTCTTATACATCTTATTGTCCGATGGAAAGTCCTCGTCGATCGGTATTGTATAAGGGGTTGGTATATATTATCATGACAATATAATTCTCCAGTGTTATTTATATATTTATCTATCTATGGGAAGATTAATAACCAAAGGAAACAATATATTGTCTTCCTGTATTTTCCATCTCAACAGAAAATAAAAATATTAGCATTACATGTCTCATTTGCACCATGCCATCGGGTGCAGCACGACAGATCAATCCACCTGAACATGCAAATCCTACTAAGAATCACACGCATATCTATATATATCTCTGTCTCTCTCTCGCCTCTCGAGTGCTGGGATGTGCGATAAGAAGGACAAGAGCAACTCGAGCTTTGAAGTATGACTGTTTAGCAGTTTTTCTCATAGTTTTGCATCCTGTCCATGATACTAATTACGAGCTATCCATATAAATGTTGTGGCAGTAAACCATGCATTTTCGCACCATCGGTCTGCTGAAGACTTGCATGCTTACTTCACAGCTCCTCGACGTCACACTGTTCATCCCTTCTGAGATTCAAAAGAACACGTACGTGTATGCTGCACGGCATCATCATCACGTACCAATAGCTCGCCGAAGGAGAAGAATTCTCACGTCTCCATATCTTATGGATAGAGGAAAATGTATTCAAACGTGACTAGCGGATTTATTGTGAATGATAACATCACTCCCGTGTGTTAGGAGTTTGATACCCGTCCTACTCGAGTTATATACTCCTTTAATCGTTTGGACAGCTACCGAACATCTATCACAGTATCTATCTCATAGGTGTAAGTTCGTAGATTATGATGTCGGTCTCTTTCAGGTTGTCGTTTCTAGTCAATTTTTAAAGCATCAAATATAATTCTATCCACAAGTCAATAACCATTCATTGTTATCAATCGTGACGTTTAGAGAGATGTACCTGGACGCCTGGAACCCTGAAAGGGGCCGTGCTGACTTGCTCCACCTATCAACGCGCAGACCAAGAAAACTACGTCTATATACTCTTATCCACGCCTCCTCATTTATCATCTTTTCTCATGCACCAACTCCCCTTCTGGATCCCTATGTCATTTATCATCATTAACTTCTCAAAGATTGGAAGACACGGCCACAAAAGTATGACACTTCGTTCTTGCTCATGCAATGTTCGAGTCCCACTCCAGTTGCATGGAAATAAATATGCAGGTTGAATGAACTCAGTCGGTAGCACATTGGATACAAGCGTGACGTTCTTTTTTATAGGTTTTCTTGTTGTATCTACTCATCAGTAGCACAGGCCCAAACCACTCTCCAACGTATACTTCTTCGGCAGCTGCAACTCTTTTGCTCCCTCTCATATGAGCACCATCTCTTCTTATCTCTCTTTCCTCGCCATACCTTCATGCAATAAAGAAGATGACCCTTTGGTGGCTTCAAATAAATCTGAAGCCAGCTATGCATATAATATATATATACATATATAATTTTAAGTCATCAAAGGGTCTTCTTATTTATATATAACGCAGACAAAGGGGTGGTCTCGTTGAGGTTCAGTGAGGAGGAATCAGATGTATGGTGAGGGAATAGAGATGGAGTTGCATGAGGGAAGAGAGATCAGAAGAGATGGCGCTCATGGAAGAGGGAGTAGAAGAGTTGCAGCTGCTGAAGAAGAGATTAATGGACTACCTGCAGTTAAAGCATCATCAGTGGAGACTAGTGACATGAACAAAGATGAGTCCCAGGAGCTGGTTGTTCTCCAACTTATACTTCCTTTCTTTGTGTTGTTACTTCCTTTTCTTCTTCTCTCTTATGTTTATTTATAGCTAATAGAGGATTATTCCATCACTGCAGAAGGCTGGATGGAAAAAGTTTCTAGCTCATGTTGGACCCGGATTCCTTGTTTCCCTGGCTTACCTTGATCCTGGCAATCGTGAGACACACACACTCTCACTCTAAATCTTGAGCAATCGAACTTATGCTTTGAATTCTGTGGCAGTGGAGACGGACCTACAAGCCGGAGCGAATCACAGATACGAGGTAATCTAAACATGGAAATCGCTACATCTTAACGAATTTGCAGTCTCTTTCAGTGGTTCTTTTTCTGAGACAGCTATTTCCTCAAGTCAGTCGATAAATGCTGTATAAAAGGAGACATATATATATATACCTATATATCCTCTCTAAAAAAGGATTCTTGTTTGAACTCTTTGGATCTGAATCTGTTCGTCTGGATTGTTGGATAAGGATAACTAACTTGTTTATCTCTTGATTCATTTTTCTGCTACTTAATCCTTCATCTTCTTCCCTCTTCCTGGATTGACTGATGCATATTGTGGAAATGCTTAAAAACAGCTCTTGTGGGTTATACTAATTGGTCTCATTTTCGCGCTGATAATACAATCATTAGCAGCAAATCTCGGGGTGACTACAGGTATCAGAATCAGAAACACAACTTTTTTCTTCCTTTTTCTGGATTGTTTTGTAGACAACCGATATGTACTTGAAATGCTCCTCCTACTCGCACTTCACAAAAGGGAAGCACCTCGCGGAGCTGTGTAAAGCGGAGTATCCAAAATTTGTGAAGTACTGTCTGTGGGTGGTTGCAGAACTGGCTGTGATTGCTGCTGATATCCCAGAAGGTTGTTTCTGAGCTCAAGATTTTTGTGTGAGCCTCTTGATGTTTCTTCGTCGTTAAACGATTCGGACTTACTGGGACGGATGAGCTTTTTTTGCAGTGATAGGAACATCCTTTGCTCTCAACATCTTGTTTCACATCCCAGTGTGGGCAGGTGTCCTCATCACAGGGTTGAGCACTCTGCTGCTTCTTGGACTCCAGAGATATGGGGTAATTTCAACCCTTGTTCCAACCTTTCACTGTTTCTAATGCAATTGGCGTCAAATGGTAATGGACCGAATAGATTTTGGGGCAAATGTTTGTCTCATGTACTGTTGTTTTTCCAACAAACACAAGCAAAAGAGGAGGAAGAAAACAGGTGGGTCAGTGTCTCCCATTAGGAACTAGAAAAGAAGACAAGATCTCCTTAGCTTGTATTCACGAGCCTCGAGTTCTCTGACTTGGTCATCAAAGATATTATAGCAAGCAGAAGAATGATATCTCCTTGCAGCTTAAACAAGTTGGAATCCTTCCGCCCTGTCTGTAACTTGTTGGTATAATTAAACCGGTTTATACAGGTTTAAACAACTGAGAAGTTGCTATCTTGGCATGGAAACAAGTGACAGAGAAGAAAAAACCATTCTACTTGCAGGTCCGGAAGCTTGAACTTTTGATATCAGTGCTGGTGTTTGTCATGGCTGCCTGCTTTTTCGGAGAGTTGAGCTACGTAAAGCCCCCTGCATCTGAGGTGATCAGGGGACTCTTCGTGCCGAGGCTTAAGGGCGACAGTGCCACCAGCGATGCCATCGCTCTCCTGGGTGCTCTTGTCATGCCGTGAGCAGATCGATACTCCTGCCATATGATTACTTCTCCGTGATTCTTTGCTTACTGCATTGGCCTTGTCTCTGCGTGCAGGCACAACCTGTTTTTGCATTCGGCACTGGTGCTATCGAGAAAGACTCCTCCCTCCGTCAAAGGAATCAATGTAAGCCCAACAAGGATTAAAAAGGAAAATGTTCATCAACGATAATCTATAAGAAGGATTAAGATCGATATTTGCTCATGTTCCTTTTGTCTTCGTGTAGGTCGCCTGTCGGTACTTCCTCTTGGAGAGCGGCTTCGCGCTACTGGTCGCATTGCTCATCAACATAGCAGTTGTATCCGTGTCCGGAACTGTTTGTGCTACCGATAACCTCTCATCTGATGATTCTGATACATGCAGTGATTTGACCCTCAACTCAGCCTCTTTTCTGCTCAAGGTTTGTCTTCTTCTTCATCATCATCGTGATGGCAACACAAGTTGAGATGCTTTCGTTGCTTGTGTTCTCCTCAGAATGTCTTGGGAAAGTCGAGCTCCATAGTCTACGGGATCGCATTGCTGGCCTCCGGACAAAGCTCCACAATAACTGGCACGTACGCTGGCCAATACATCATGCAGGTAACGTCATGGTAGTGATTCAGATCACCATTTTTGCTTAGTAACCTGGGATCAAACCAAGCGATCATGATGATCGATAACACTAACGCATGCGCAGGGCTTCTTGGACATCAAGATGAGAATGTGGCTTCAGAACCTCATGACTCGATGCGTCGCCATCGGTCCCAGCCTGATCGTCTCTATCATCGGAGGCTCTGCTGGAGCAGGAAAACTTATAATCATCGCATCGGTATCGAATTTATTCGTCCAAGACGAATAATTTTCTTTTGCGTCATGCAGGTTAATAATGCGTTCATCAATTCTGATTACCCAAACCGTGCAGATGATACTATCTTTCGAGCTACCGTTTGCTCTTATCCCTCTTCTCAAGTTCAGCAGCAGTCGTACGAAGATGGGACCTCACAAGAACTCCGTCTTCGTGAGTTGATTTCAACTTTGTATCTCTCTTGATTCTTTCGGTATCTACCACCAAACTGCTAAAGCTTATACTTCAAATGCAGATCATCGTGATCTCGTGGATCCTTGGTGTGGGTCTCATAGGAATCAACATCTATTTCTTGAGTACGAGTTTCGTCGACTGGATCACCCACAGCAGTCTACCAAGGCCGGTCACAGTTCTCATCGGCATCGTCGTCTTCCCCTTCATGGCCGTCTACATGCTTGCGATCCTCTACTTGGCCTTCAGAAAGGATAGAGTGGTGACCTTTGTGGATAAGTCTGATTCATCACAGATAGAAATGGAGGATGGTGTGCATCCTTCTGATGGTAACAAGGCGACTGAAGTCATGCCGTATAGAGAAGACCTTGCCGACATTCCTCTTCCCGACTAAACTCAAAACGATGGCTTATTAGCCAAATCTTTGTATAACAAGTACAGTGTTGTGCCAGCTAAAATAATTCCAGTTATGGTTCACAGACTTGTAAGACTTGTGTTGGTATAACTAATAATTATGCACCAGATTATCTAATAATATATATATATATATAACAAATTTTAATATGCATCATTTGATTCTTTCAAAACTTAGAGATGTTGGGCTTCTCTTTCAGGTTGTCTACTTGAGCAGGATATGATGCATAATTACTAGTTATACCAACACAAGTCTTACAAGTCTATGAATTATTTTAGTTGGCACAATACTATAGTTATTAGACAAAGAGCAAAGTGCATCATGACAACCAATAATATTCTTCTTGAATGGGTTGTATTTCTTAATTATAATATGCCTAAAAAAAGGGATGCTTGTGACCCTTAGCATATAATGTCCTATGTACAAGGAACCAACTCATCCAAACGGGTGTTACTGTCACTGCATACTCTCACTAGTCATTTGAAGTTTTAAGACTTTTTGAACAACCACAACAGAATCATAGAAACAGCAACATATGATAGGGTTAGATAAGTATTTTTAAGAGTTTTAATTATATTCAAATTAGTTGATAGAATTTTAATTAAATTAAAATTTCTTAGCGAACTAAGATTTGTGCCCATAAATATATCCTAAATCTAAGGGTTTTAGAATTTCTAGAAAGAATTAAGAGAAGACAGCCCTTTTCTGTTCCCAAGTAGATGTCTTGCGAGGAGATCTTGTGGTGCATGTAAAGTACAGAAAAGATTACTCCCTTCTTTGTCGATTAGATGGAAGTCACGTTGAACATATAGAAATAGATGAGTTTGTCGTGGGTAGGGATTATTTCTCAGCATAGGGATCATTCTCAAACTTCGAGTTAATCATGGGATTTCAACAGCGAATGAGTCTCGCTCGATAAGATGTTCAATCCAAACAGGTTTTGATGGAAGTACAGCAAAACCTGAGAGACCTGATTAAAAGTATAATCACAAAGGAATGCAGACGAGAAAGAAAAATACCTCATAATTTCAAGTTCTGGTTGGCTACCAAAGTTTTCCCATGTCGATCGACCTCTGTTTGCATCACTTTAGATTTGATGTCCTTTTCGGCCCCAACAAATAAAGAAAACAATTGAAGAACCAAGTGGTGGAATGAGTAAGACTATGCCTAGCGGCCAAAGAAATGCGTGCAGGAAGATTCCAATGATGTGTTTGTCTACCAAAGACATGACCTGTCTTCTCCTTTGTGGATGGCACAGAAACAAGCAGAGGACAAAGCCTCGTGCAGTCCAAACCATTGGCCATGGAATGGCAGGATTCACCACTTTTATTAGCTGTACAGAGACGATCTTCACTGTGACTGAAGGATAAGGTTTATCCATGACCCGATCGCTTCACTGACGAGCGAAGCGGACTGGCAGATTCCGAACGAATATTAGAAAAAAAGCTAGTGAATTAACAGGTGAAGTGATAAGATGAACTTGCACAAAGGTCCTAAGAACAGATTTTGAGTCAGTCTTAGTGGCCACCGGAAGTCGGTCATCTCGTCCCCGCAGAAGGCAGAAAGAGAATTGCAAAGATGTCGGCATGTAGATTCGTTTGATTTGTTTTGAATCGACGATGCTTTTGTGCAAAAGGTTCTATGTAAAACGGTAGCTCAAAATAAGCCAAACAGGGCGAGTCACTTGGTGGTTGGGAATCGTGAGTATTGGATCAGCATCGGAAGTGCAGCAAGTGATCGACTCTCCTGTCAACCAGACGAAGACGAAGGGAAATGAGTGACACGGATGGAACGCAAGAGACGAGGAGTTTGCGATCAGGAGCACCGGGTAATGAACTCTCTAAAATCTTCTTCAGAGTTCTTTGTTTCTGTAAAGTAAAACCACATGCCAAGGCCCGGAGAAAGACCTCTGTTGGGGTCAATGCTGCACACGAACGAGCTCTGCAAACAAATTGTTCATGTCTTCGTTTGTGAAGGAGCCGACTGCTGTTATCATCAGAAAAAAGAAATGATCCGTTTGTGTCCATCTTCACCCACATGTAACTGAGGGTTCTGCGAACATAGAGTTCAGAGCCGGAGTCTGACAGGCGTACCCTTGTCTTTCTCGTTGTCTCCATAAAGGACATTATACATTAATCTGAAAAAGGAAGGAACAATTAGGCCAATCCACTTTGTTTGTGTTCCTTCTGTTTGATTTCCAGTAGGTGGAAGATCCCTTTACTCCTGTGTCGAGAAGAAGACGAGCTAACACTGGAAGATAAGCTGGAAACACAAGGGAAGACGGTGATTCTTATAAGAAAACCTTGCCAAAATGCAAACCCACGTGACTTCAGGAACTCCACGGAAGACCATGTACAGAACATTTACATGCGAATGATAGGTGACACAATCCCTCGAGATCCAGTGAACAAAACCAGAACAAGCAAACCAATCAACCACGAGTAGGATCACCGAAACAAAGGCAGTCCTTCATGATGTGTTCCTCTCGTTTCTGCCACCTACATCAGTTGGATTCGCTGCAGCTCTTCACCTTGTGTCGGTAAAGGAGCAACTTCTTCTTGGACGTGGGGTTGTCGATGCTGAGAACCACCTTGCCGGGCTCCCCAATCTTGAAGGAGCCTTTGATCACGGGCTCATCGACGGCGGCCAACTTCCTGGTCTTGTGCACGATCACCGTGTACCCGTCCTCCGCGCTCGGGGTGAACTCGGCACCGTAGCTAACCTCCCATCCCAGCACTCGGAGTTCCCACACGAGAACGCATGCCTGCCGACCGAGCGTAGCATCGTGTCACAAACGAAGCTTCTTTCTCACCGAAAGCTTAGATCATGACAGTACTCGCAGGATTGTAAAGAGAAGAACAGATCTAACCTCGGTGGCTGGCATTTCTATGGTTTGCTTGGATGAAGGTTTGATGCTGACATCCGTAGCAGCATCAGCAGCGGTGAAATCGCGGTCATCGTCCTTGCTAAGACCGCCGAGTGCAACCGGAACTTGCTCAGGTGCTATGTATCTGCATCAAGAGCATCAACTAGTATGAGATCTTACACCACCGATTTGAGGCAATCGATGAAGAGGATGAGCGAGGAAGAAAAGTCATTCAGATAATATCACAGACTTGAACAGGGTCTCTGCAGATCTGGATGGTCCGGCGAAGACAAACTTGCTCTTGGTCCTCTGTGTGAAGAATGGGCTCATCATCCGGTTGACAGCCAAATACCACCATGGAACATTGATGAACACCTGACAGTTTGGTAAGCATCGTTGCTCCTTTCCAGTTAATTCAATGGCAAAACAAGACCAGAAGAGTGTGTATTAAAGATGCTATGTGTCACCTTCTTGGCGATGAACTCGGGGTAGTTGTCCTGGAGCAGAGTGACGGCTTGCTTCGTGACCTGCCGATGCTTCCCGATCCGTGGCGAGTTCTTGAGATCTGTCACCTGAACCATGGAGGAGATGCCACCAGGAGTGAAGTCCAGCTTCTCCCTGATCCCCTTCTCGAGGTACTGGATCCTCCACTTGAGGAACTTGCGCCGCTTGTCCGCGTCGCCGAATGTCTTCTCGTAGAGCTCCTTGTCGTGGAACTCACCGTAGACGTTGTAGCACACGGGATGGCCCTCCTTGTCGACGCCATGCATGTACACGACCTTGTCCAGCTCCGGCAGGCCGACGTCCTCCTCCAGGAGCGCCTCGATGCCGAACTGCTTCCTCCAGATGACGGCGTCCTTAAGCATGGCCAGGGCGTCCTTCACCTTGAAGTCGCGAGCTTGGAGGAATTTGAGGAGGATGGTGTCGCTCTTGTCGTCGCCCACGAGAGGGATCCCCCATATGAATACCTCCTCTGGTGGAGCCGCCGGTGCCGGAGCAGGGTCCTCCTCAGGCGGTTCCTTCGCTGAGTCCTCTGCAGCAGGAGGAACCTCCTCGGCTGCCGGAGGGGGAGCGGCCACGGGGACGAAGGTTTCCTCGATGGCTTTCACCGTCTTGGCGCCGTCGTCGTCAACCTCGGCAGCCTTCTCCTCCGCCGGCTGCGCAGGGGCAGGCAAAGGTTCCTCCTTTACCGGTGCAGCGGGCTGCTCCACCACTTCCGGATTCAGAGGTCCCTCAACCGATGCAGGAGCGGCCTCGGACGTCTTCGGGAGCTCTTCCGAAGTCGGCTTCCTCTCCTCCACGGAAGCAGGGGCGGGGGCTTCTGCCGGCGCGGCTTCCGGCTCCTCCGCTGGGGCCGTGGGCGGAGGCGGGGGAGGTGGAGGGGGGTTGAACTCGTTGTTAGCGAGGGCGGCCTGCACGAGCTCCTTCAGCTCGTCGAGAGCCTTCTTCTGGGGATCGACGTCGGGGGCGGCAGTCTCGTCAGCGGGCGATGCCACCTCCTGGACCTCGTTTTTCTTCTCCTTAGCCTCGGACTTCATCTCCTCGGCCGCAGGCTCCTTGGGTTCCGACTCAGCGGGAGCCTCGTCAGCGGGCGATGCCACCTCCTGGGCCTCGGTTTTCTTCTCGTCAGCCTCGGGCTTCTTTTCCTCGGCCGCAGGCTCCTTGGGTTCCGACTCAGACGGAGCCTCGGCGACGACAAACTCCGCCGCGGGGACGGCTTCGGATGCCTTGGCCTGGGTTGCTTGGGCCATCGACCACAGGGAGAGTTAGAGAGAGAATAGAAGATTGAAAGTAGTGTATCAATATTATTAGAGGTGGTGGAGGGAAACGACAGAGAGTGGCTTATATAAGGTGGTGGTAGAGATGGAAGTCCAGCTCAAAACTACTCTTCTCCATTGGGGTATCTGAGTTTGATAAGATTTATGATTTATTTTGGTTAATTTAAATAAATAATATTGAAATGTACAAGAAATTACTTTTGTGTTTTTGGCGTATTTCATGATAGTATTTTTAAAGGAGTTCAAATGAATAGATTTAGTTAAGAATGTATTATTTTAAATAATATGTTTCCATGTAATTATTTGGCACACAGGTAAAGCAGCAACATGTCAAGATTCACATGTCTTCTGCTTGAAAATATAACCCACTCTTTCTCTACTTCATCACAAGAGGAAAATAAAATTATTAGTGGCAAATGATAAGAGAAACTTAAATCTATCTGTTCAGTGGTAGATTATAACAGGATTATGGCATCGCATCAATTAGGTGACAACAAATCAGCATATTGAATATTGCATATCTAATCTACTCATAGCACAGAATCCCACCGTGTGACGTCAGTTCTCTTTAGATGCCCATTTTTCTTTGGAATTTGATGCTATAATACTTGCTCACCTCCAGTTGTTAAGCTGAATTTTCTTGACATTTGCACCAGATACTTGCATTAGGTGCAGATCATAAAACATAATGCAGCTTTAGAGAGCATTAGCAATGATCTCAAGTTGTGATGGAAACTAAAATTTAATTCGTTTCAAGCCATCTCCAGCTATCCAAAGTTGAATTTGCACTGGCATCAGGCACACAGCTCACGATCTTCCCTACCTGTCCTCAGATATCGCTAACAAGGCAACCAGTGAGCATGTAAGACTTTAGTAGCAGCAGTGGTTGAAAGGAACACCCAAAGATCACAAGGCATGGACTCCCACTACAGCAGATGTGACACCCACAAAAGCCCTTCTGTCCCAGCTTAAGCTGTGTTCTCCCCACCTCGAAGTAGTTTAAAAGGTTGCAGATTCCTGTCCTGAAGGGAGAAGTTGAGCTGGTCTTCTCTTTGTTATGAGCTGGTTGTAGTTGGCAGGGGCCTCCAATGCTCTGGTGCTTTGATATCCTTTTCATTCTTTAGTGATAGCAACAACAACGAGAAGGATTTGGATGATCTCTTCACACTTTCTTCATGTATGAGATGGATTATTAGGATGGACCAGTTAAACTAAGATTCAGGGTGCTTCAAGAAGAAATCTCAGTAGTAAAGGAATTAATGTATGTGATTCTGAATCAACCTAACTGGTGTAGGAGATATATATATATATATGGGACTGGTGGTGTGGTTTCTGCATGAACAACTTGAACTAGAGCAATTACAACAAAAAACAATGATCAACTTCAACTAGAGCAATTCTTTATATGACAATAGACAAGTTCCAAAACCACCTCCAGCTATCTTTTCTTCTTTTTTTTTATTGATCGATGTATCACTATTTCCTGGCAGTCTGCAGGAAGAAATAGGATACAACTTCTCTATAATTCCCATCAGAGAGAGATGGTTAGATCATCAAATTATTTGTCTGACAATTAATTTGAGCAATCTTGTAAAAATTGAAGCTTCTTTCATGCTACATGTTTCTGTAAAGCTTCAACTTACTGTCCAAAGAAACAAAAAAAGCAATGTAAGGCCATCTCTGACTAAACAGGTTTTATTGATTTCATTTGAGAACATAATGCAGCCAAATGCATTAAAAGTTACAAATATCAATGAGGAATAGTGTATTAGACTCTATTCAGACTGCTTTAGGATCACATGCAGTTGTAAAACCACAACGCTTAGTGAGGAAAAAAAATCTTATCTATATATTATCAGCTACCTCAGAATAAGGGGAGATTATCCCTGAAATTTGCTTGCACCATTTTTTGTGGCAATGGCAGAGCAGCATCTTGCAGCACTAATGGAGGTGGAAGCAATAAAATGAACTGACAACTAACAGCTCAATTGTCCTATCCAATAGACAAGCTAAAGGACGGAGTTGATGTTCTAAACAAATACACAGCCTTTACCTAAGACAAAGTATCAGGCTTCCAAGATCATTATTCAACAGTTAATCACCAATGTATATTTGTTGCAAGGATTATCTTGCCCCTTATCACAAGTCATATCCTTGAATATGGATACGGACGATAAAAAGCTGGCCTATCCTGCCTTGACAGATGGAAGACGATGGCCAATAGGGCTGTCGTGCTCCTGGGCCATCTGGGCATGAACCTAGTGCAGATTGCAGTCCTAGTCAAGGCTGGATATTGTCAAGTCATCACTATCAACTCTAGATGTCCAGACAACATAACTAATAATTGTGTTCTCATAACTCGCTGAGAAATGAACTAAATTATGAAAATTGAAAAAGCCCATCCTTTCAGAGAAAGCACATGAAATGTCAAAGATATGTGACAGAACCTACATGACAATATGTACATGACAGCCAATGGAACGACCATTCTCATCAGCCAGCTGACAACCTTTAACCCAAAAGGTCTCAGACATGCTACATTGGCATTCTATCTGACCTTTCACAAAAGACTTTTAACAATAAGATACCACATAAAAGACGCTTGGTCGACAATGTTTTATCAATAACCACATCTAGTATCAAGCTGTTGGCATCCCATATGTAGGGAAACGATCAGTACATTAATAGTTAGCAAACCTACCAGCTTCCTCAATAACAAAAGAAGAAAGCTTAGTATATTGCAGAACCCCATAGTTATATCAGAAACTGTAACAATATACTAGTATAATGAATTCGCATTCTCGATTATTTTAAACAAAACCAATATAAGTTCTGCAACACCAGGTGAGTTTTCTGTTTAAAAAGACGACAACTCAAGATACTGCAAAATAAATTTCAGAACTCCTTTCTGAACAAATGAACCAAAAACCATCTCATCCTTAGTACCTGTGTTCCAGCTTCTCCTCCTCCTTATAGTACTGAGCATAACTGCACCAACAAATATGAGGTTGACACAAAAATTTGAACATGACAAAAGAGACATAATATACTGAAAGCATATATGTAGAATAGTTATATTATGCAAAAAAGAATACGCTTTTCATCTAATCTCCCATTTTAGAAACATAGCATATGGGCAGATCACATTGTAGGACCACATCTTAGCAAATGTTTCGAACATGTCCGCTCTCTTAACCTAGACATACTGTGGCACCCCCATAGAAGGTCAGCAATTGAACAGAAACTCCTATCTGACAAGGCTGAAATCAATATTAAACCAAATTTATCAATAAGACATAAGTTCCTGGAAGATTGGTTCTATATTGCTAGCCCAGGCAACTTTTAACAATGTGTAATACCATATTTCGAGTTTTTTTATGCCTTCAATTGGCAGAGAAGAATCGTTTTCCGGAAGAAGTTCAGCCTCATGGAGTGAAGAGATCTGTTTAATGGAGCAAGATGTGTAGGCAAATCGACTCATATACCCATGTTCACTAGTATTTCCCTCGGTTACCTACTTCAGGCTACTTAAGTACAACACTATGTTCCAATAGGAATCTTTGCTTTTTTGGGCATAAATTTTCATTGGAATGTTGGATTCCTCATCTTGGTAATACTGGAAAATTTTCTGTGAGATATTTAACCATACTTCATGGCATGAGATCAAACTCAAATGCTTTTAAGAAGTTAAAGACACTCAGGGTTCACACTTCACAGTCATTCAGATGTTGCTTCAACTTATTTGCAATCTTACTTCATTTTAATTTTATTTCAGGGAAAACAATGATTAAATTATCTAGGATCTCTAAATAGCAAGTGAACCCTGTTTATCTTTAAGGTTTACATAGCTTAGTTGATCATTCCTCTTTTGAGTTGAATTCTTAACATAAAGCACTATTTCTGTTACAGGTATGATGAGAAGTCCTCTCAAACACTATTTTCTGATTAATTTTGTCTCATTTTCACTACAATTTTCTTTCTAGTAATGCAAACAAGTTTATTTTAAAGATAATATGTTATGTGAAACTAGAAAGAGTTCTGAAGCCCACCTTCACAAGTGATGTAAATACTCTTATTGATGGAAATGGTTACATAACAGATTTTGGATTATATGTTAGAGAGAATAATTATGGAAGGCTGAGAACTCTCCGGTTCTGATACTCTGAGTAATCCACAAGTTTAACGGCGAAGTCAATAAAGTAGAAGGTGAAATAGAAGATCGGAAAAAATACAAAAGATTCCAGCTGCAAATCAGTTTAACAGATAATATCCTTCAACCCTGAAGTAAATTTAGGTGTTTTTCGGTAAATCTAAACGGTAGGCATAAGACAAAAGCAATCTACAACATGGAAGCCCAACCAAATCTGTCGTCTTTACTTCGGAAAGGGAAGCCACCAAAACCTAGTTTGACGCCTCCCAATTCAATCAAATGTGGAACAAAGCTGAAATTTTGCGCCCTTTCCTCCAAGGCATCATCAACGGAATAAGAAAAAAAAATGGAGGGGGAAGAGAAGAGAGACGTACGAGTAGGTGCCGAAAACGGGGGTAAGCAATAGGGTAGCACTGAGCCAGTTCTCGGAGACCTTGTGGTGGATCTTTCCGGGGAGATCCTTCCACAGCCCGGGCATCACCTTCTGCTGGAACGGTGACAGCGCGTACACCACCGCCTTCATCCTCACCGGCGTCTTCCCCATCCTTCTCCTCTTCTTCTCTCCCCCTCCAAGCCGGCGCGCCGCCGCTCACTTTTCTTGATCGAAGCTCGCCAACAAATCTTAATAACGATGACAACCGGTTCATGGACCAGTCCGACCCAGCCCAATGAACCGATCCGGTAAGGCCCAATAATAATAAATGCTAACCTGATACGGTTCGGAAACCAAAGCAGATTCGCAGCTCCTGCGCGTCGCAGGTGGTCTGAAAGATCACACTCGCTTGTGCCTTGGAAATTGTTTTGGCTTCTGAGCTCTTTACCAAATCAATGGATTCAAAACACTGCAATAACAAAAAATGTGTTGACTTGAGAAACAATCTGTCGAGTTTTGT